CCAATTTACAAATTTTTTACAAGAATAAGACTCAGACTATAAACAAAATTATTATCTAATTTTATCTAATTTATTTGTAACCTAAACCTACTAAAGTGGTTAAAACTCATCTAGATTTAATATTATAAGATGTTATTAGTAAGAATACTATAGTTTATTTATTCAGATATCTATTTAAATAGTTTTTTATTTGCTTTTTCTTGTGATGGGCAAATATAAAAGTTGTAAAAATCATCTATGTGCTGTTGGTCTGGAAGTTTACAAGTGCAACTATAGATATATAATAGTCAGGTTTGTAATAATAATTTGGTTGAAATATTGAAATTAGTTGTTAATTATATAGTAGTTAGTTAGGAATATTATTTTGCTGTTTTCATTCTGATAGTTTGGTACAGTATAGTTTTCAAATTTGGTTATATATGTTTTGAGATATTTGGATTAAAAATTTTATTGTAATATTAGTTGTTAACTGGTTACTAGTAGTATATTCTCATATAGTATTGATTAATATAATTGAAACAAAATTGTATATATATTTGTGTAATTTCTAATAAGGTTGTTTAGAGAAATACATGAGTGATTAATAAGTTTTTCATATAGTTCTTGTAATTATATAGTTGTTATATCTAGTTATAAGTTATTAAAGAATTGTTATATTGTGTTAATAATAATAGATTTTAGTATATATGAGTTTAGGCATGTTAGTTAGTATAACTGACTGTCATATATATTGCATAAAATACAGTATTTATCTGGATATATTGTTGAATAAGAAGAGTAAAGATGAGATAGTATAGAAAGTATTTCTAATATAAGTTTAATTTTAAAGATTTTTTTATAACATAGACTAAAACTAGTATAAAATGTAGATCTTTTGCAATTGTTGTTAAAAAAAAGCCAAGTGACTTCTTAGTTAATTAGTAAAAATAAAGGTAAAATGTTTTCTATTCAATATTGAAAGAACCATATTACTATATTATAAGCATTGCTAATGTTTTTAATTGTTCTATATACAAGTTGCTCTATAGGATATTTGTCATAATAGAGGTAATATAATATATTGTATATATTATTGTGAAGAATAGTAAGTATATATAGTTGGTTTGGGTTTTTGGCTAGTTTGTTAGCTATGTTGTTAAATGTATTGTTGCTATATGCAGTTACTTTTTAAAATTTGATATGCAGTAATAAAGTTAAGTAATATATATCATATTAGCCAATAGTTATAAGAATATTATTTATTAGATGTAAGCAATAATTATATAAGTTTGTTATATTTGAAAATAATATATTGTGAGTCTGTATATATTGTTATAGTGCTCATTTTTGGGCAAGTGGTAGTTATTAACATTTTTTTATATATGTTGTATCTTAGATGCAAATTAGCCCAATTGTCAATTAGGGCAGCCCAGATTGCAATTTGATTTTGAGCTACCAATTTTGCTTCATATGCAAATTGCAAATTATACTTATATTTTTAGAAAATAATAAATAATACATAATTAATACTATATGCAAATTGTAGATTATATTTATATTTTTAGTAATAATTAATTACTATTTTAAATTATTTTATAATAATATATAATAAATCTATTTTATAAAAAAATTTTTTAAAAAAATTTATTATAAAGTTTAGTATAAATTATAGTAAATTATTTTATAAAAGCTTTTAAAAATTTTTTACTATAAAAACTATTAATTTATTATAAAAAGTTAATTTTATAAATTATATTATAATAAAAATTACTTCTAATTACATTATATATAGTCTGAGTTTAAAAATACTAATCATAATAAAATTAAAAATGCAATAAATACAATAAGTAGTCTTTTTAATTTTAATTTTTTTTCTTAATGGCTTCACTTAATAAATACCTCTTTTTAGCACTTTAAATATTTAATAAGATTATAGACGAATATTTACTATCTTTAAGCAACAAAAAAGATCTAAAGTGTTAATTTCAGAAAATATTGCTAATGAATATTTACAAATTTTAAATATTCCTTAAGATATCCATATTGCAAACTCTAATATGCATTACCAAGTTAAGAATAATTATTCATGTTAAAAAGTTGATGATATTGTAACATTAATACACAAAGAAAAATCAAATACTTGGAAATCTGTTGCTTTAAAAGAGAGATTATATTATATTATTACAGAAAAACATTTGCCTATTTGATATGAGGGTTTTAAAGCTACTTACAAACAAGCATCAGATAAATATTATAGTATAAAAAGATGCTTAGTTGATAAGTTTGTTAAAAAATGTAAAACATGCAAAATGTGCAGATTATTTATCAAACCTTTAGCTATAAAACCTATTATCAGCAAGTTTTTTATCCAATAACTTTAAGTACATAGTATAAACTATAAATTATTTAAACCTTATTTTATATTATAAACTTATTTATTATTTAACTAATTTTTTTTTTATTTGAGTGCTACAAGAGAAAACTTGAAAATTCAGACTTTTTCTTTTGTAATACTTAATTTTTTTTATTAGATCAATCTTATAGATATGCAAACCAGAAAAAATAATAAATTTAAATAGATAGCATATGCCAAGAATTACTTTATACATTTTTTCTGATCCTGCATTCTTACAGATAAATGTGCAGCAAAAGTGGCTATATTTTTGTTTGATATCTTTATTGTATTTGGTCCACTGATCTTTCTACATAGTGATAACAGGTATAAATTTACTATAGTGATTATTAATAGTTTTACAAAACTTTAGCCAAGTCATAAAATTATTTATGAAAAGCCAAGAAGACCACAAACTCAAGGTTTAGTAAAAAAGATAAACTTTGTATTAAAGGATAAACTTGGAAAATGGCTTGAAGATTACCAAAATAAAAATGATGATCTATATTGGATAGTTGGTTTAGCAACTATAGTTCATTCAATGAATTTATCTATATGTCATACTACTAACAAAAGGCTATTTGAGTTAGTTTTTGATTATGAACCTTATAGTAATTGTATTCTTCTTGATCAGATTTGGTCTCAAGGAATTAGAAATAACAAAATTATTTCTGATAATGTTCAAATTGAAGAGTATTATGACATTCAGTTTGATAATAACAATGAGGATAATATCCAAATAGAAAATGATAAAGATGATGATATAAATAATATGTTTAATAAAAATTGGAGTGAAAATTTATTACAAAGTAAGAATAATAATAGTAATAGCATATTTTTTATGATAAGTATTAACTTTATTTATAGAGGTGGAAACAAAAAACTAGATAAAAATTTATTTTAAATTTTTAAAATTTCTTGCCTAATAGCATGCTACAGTATCTGGTAAGTATTAAGAGTATCTAAAAATTAGAAGTACTTATTCTGAAATATAAATTATTCAAAATTCTAAAATTCACTACTATCATCTAGCATAATAGTAATATTAAAATAAGAAAAAAATAAATAATTATAATTAAGTATTAAAATATTAAATCATTCTTAATTCAACAAAAAAAAAAAATTCAGAATTGTTTATCATCATTGTTACTACATAGTGTCATAATAATATTAGTATTAAAAATTTATAGTTATAATTAAGTATTAAAATATAAAATTATTCTTCAAAAAAAAATAATCAAGGTTCATCATTGCTATCATCACTTAGTATGATGAAAAATATGATAAGTATTAAACAAAGATTTATATTTTTATTTAAAATAATGTTCATACTTATCTAAAATTTTTAGATTTTGCTGCAGTTGCTATTAAATATGATGAATATAATAAGAATTTAATAAAAAATTAAATCTGAATTTAATATTAAACTTAAAATTACTTATTTTTAAAATTTTAGAATTCATTGCTATCTAATGTGGAGAAAAATATGATAAGTATTGAAAGTATTGAATAAAAAAATGATTCGAGAATAATTGTTATACTTAACTCTGGGATTTTAGGTCTTACCAATGCTATTGCTAAATAATTTTATAGAAAATACAGTAAGTGTTGAGTAAAAAAATAATATTTAGTTGAAGAATAGAAACTTATATGTTTTGACATTTCAGATTTCACTGCTACCTTCACCTAATGGAAATGCAATAACTGTTAAACCAGATAACATTTCAATTAAAAAATAATTAACTATGTTTACTTTTAGGTTTCATTACTGTTGCCATCTAATAAAAATATGGTAATTATTAATAATTAATAATAATGCTTCAAATAAAAAATAATTATTCATACTTATTTTTTTTTAATTTAGGTTTTGCTACTGCTATTGCTTAATAAGAATGTGGTAAAAATTATTAATTACCAATGCTTAAATTTGAAAATTTGAATAATAGTTTGTATTTACGTTAAAATTTTTAGGTCTATTGTTTCTGTCTAATGAAAGTGTGGTAAAGAATAAATAAGAAATATATATTCAGTTTAAACAATTAGCTAACTATAATTTGAAAATTTTAGACTTCACTACTACTGCTGCCACCTAATGTAACAAATATGATAAGCTTTTAGAAAAATAATATTATTACATTAGTATTATTTTAATTAAAAAAGTAATCATTTGTTTTTATTTTGAATTTTGGGTTTATCACTGCCACTACTGCCTAATGTAGTAATAAATATGGTTAGTATTAAGCAAGAAATAATAACTTAATTGGAAAATATAACAACAACTTATTTTTAATATTTTAGTATTTACTATTGCCACTATCATCCAATGTAATAGTAAGTAAAGTTAGTATTAAATAAGTAATAATTAAAATAATAACTTAATTAAAAAATATAATAACAATTTATCTTTGATCATTAAGGATTCGCTACTTCTACCACCACCTAATGTAGTAGTAAATGTGGTTAGTATTAAGTAAGAAGTAATAACTTAATTGAAAAATATAACAACAACTTAGCTTTGATATTTTAGGACTTGTTATTGCCACTATTACCCAATATAGTAGTGTTATCCTATATCTACTTCTTTTAAGATAGTAGGTAACTAGAGCGACCTTAGACAGTGAACACTTTTTGT